AAAAAAATTCTCCACTTTTGCTCAAAATCTTACTTCTTCACCCAAGGCTCTGTCAGTTTATTTCAGATTTACTTTTCTATGAAATATGCCATAGAATTCTTCTGAGCTTCAAGTCATGGGATGTGAAAGGTACAGAAATGTAAAATGGCCCTGATCATCTTAAAATTTTCAACAGATCAATTTTCTCTTCAAATGAGCCAATGTACATTAGAGGATCAGGGCTGTCAAATCTCTGAATGAAACACCCGCCACAATTGTGGGTCGGAACTGTGCTGACCAGCTTTATAGTCTATCAAGATATTGCTTGCACTTTATATCTTATTTTTAATGCAATGAGTGATGTTTTAGAAAATTAGGAATGTTTTATATTTTCTAACATTTTATAATTTCCAACCCACGCTTTTCTCTTATTATCTTTATAATGTTGCAGCTGCAAAAAGACTATTTTATGCCTAGAAATGAATCCATCAGGGCTTTTCATTGTGACAGAATGGTTGGAGGAAAAGTGAGATAAACTAATAAAGTTTTTCAAGTCTATTTGTCAAATTCCTCTAAAGCCTCCCTGCCCTCATCAAGGGAACTCAGACACTGTTTATAGCAGCATTTGGGCTCCTCGAGGTAACTGTGCAGTTGATTAGGAGCCTGAAAACTAGAACTTCAAGATGATGCCCTGGGGGGATGTTGTGCCAGGAGACCCTGAAGGGAACATGGTACTGGTGTGTTTTATTAGGTAAAGACAGATACAAAGCAGATGAATTGGAAGCCTCTACAAATGGGTAGTTTGAACATCTACACACTAGACAACATCATCTGATACTATCCCCCTGATTCTGGAAGTTGTGATGGGAGAGGCACTAAAAGACATTTTCAGACATGAGGCCACTCACGTTTCAGAGTTCATCCATGGAATATGCATGAGATTCTGTTGGCCTCTATCACAAAGCTTTCTGCTCCCTATATGAGGCTCTTCTGAGGTACAGACCTCATCCTCCAAGCCACTTCATGTATCCCACACAGTGCATCCCCAGACCTGCCTGAGTTTCTCAACTTCTCCTGTATTTCCCCATTGGCTGGGCCCTCCTGATCCCCACAGACCACGGCACATGTTAACAAGACACGGGCCTTCCTTGTGGGGATGGACACCGAGAGCCTCACCTTCCACCTCTCCCCCTAGGCTCCTCCAATTGCTCGTAAGATTTCAGGAAAGGGTTTAGCACCAAATATAGAATGTCCCATGAAGCACATGGAATCCGTTTTAAATTTTTCTTTGTATTTGGTTGATGTCAACTAATGGTTATAATTTTGACTATTTTCCTAAATATGCAAAAGCGTTCTCCAGTAACAGAAAACTATTAGTAACTAAATACCTAACAAGCAAATTCTAAATATTTTTAAGTAACAGGGAAAGACCCATCAAGCAAAGTCCACGGGTCCTCTTCTGGGATGTGGCCCACAAGCGGTGCACCATCACCAGAAGCGTGACAGAAATGCTTGTGACACACTGAGACCAAAGAAAAGGCGATAAAATACTCCCCTCAAATCTTCACTAACTTTTAAAATCAGTCTTTATTGAGGTTTACTTAAAAACTAAATAGTTTCTGTTTTGTTTTGTTTTGTTCTTTTTGCAGTGCTGCTGGTCAAACCCACAGGCTTATACATGCTAGGCAACTGCTGTTCCACAGACCTGCACTCCAGCCCTGCAGTCAGCTTTGCCAGTGATAGGTCTGACGTAATTTTTCTACTTGTCACTTCTCTGCACCAAAATTCTTTCTTAACATTAAAAGAGATCCCAGGTCATACAGTGTTTCAGTAGTGGTATACACACACACACACACACACACACACAAAGGTGTAATTAGGAGATCACTAGCCATATATGAAATCTTTTGACAATACTAACCAGATGGAAGAGGTTTACAAAAAGAGAAAGCATTTTGTTGTCTCTGGAAGCCATGATAGGATGTTATTGTATTTGAAAGTCTGATTGTTTTTATTGCTTCAAATTTTCCTTGGTTCAGATGCACAATTATAGTTTGCAAAAATACACTTTGAAATTTCCCTACTGCATGGGAAAAACATTTCACCACAGCATACTGTGCAGTCACTGCAAGGGTCAGTCAGCCACAGGCCTGTGTGGCCACTACTTCTTGCCCTGAGACCCCCTGCCTGCAAATGCTACTGTGGGGCCTGTTAAAATAACAACACAGGTTTTGTTTTAAAACATATGCATTTTCTGTAAGGTGACTGTAGTTTCAACAATTCATTATATATTTTATAAAGAATTAAAAGAAAGGTTTTTGAACTTTGCCAAAACAAAGAAACACTGCAATTTCAAGGACACATGCCCAGATAGATATGACCACCACACTTTTTATAGCTATATGGCATTATCACATTGCACACTCTAATATGTACAGTCCCTATGTGTCAATTTTAAAAAGAATGTTCATTTTATTGATGTGTTAAAATTCAAGTTATACTAAAACTTTAACTATGAAAATGTAGAATACAAAAAATTTTTAATTAATTATATTCTAATATGCCTGGTATCCATACTACTATATTTTTACAAGTGAGAAGTAACTCTATGTTATGCTTTCTAACTTATAAAATCTTTTCTGTGAAAAGATAATAACTTGATTTTACAAGTATATTAACTTGTGTAAATATACTTTATGCTCTATTTAGTAAACTGGAAGAGTTAGCTTATTAATATCTAAGAGGCCTGAATGATGACATCTCCAAAATGTCAACTTCGGTCCCTTCAAACAGGTCATATGGGATTCATTTACTACTCACAGCCCTCTCATCCCTCATGCCAGAGCTTTAGTAATGATCACAGCTGCTTTCATGGAATTTTCTTATCATATGAGTGTAAAGTACCAGGCTATTTGGGAGATCGTTTGTTTTCCATCTGTGAAATGTACCTTTGAGGTCTTTACACTCCACTAGAGAAAGGCTTTCACGTCTGTGACACGGGGTCATTTATTTGTTGGTTTAATTATTTATAATCAGAACACTTGTTTAGTCAATCATCCACAAGACATTCTAAATCTAATAAAGGATATTAAAACACTAGAGATAATCTTCACCCTTTCAATAAATCACTTCCAATTTCAAATTCTTTCATCGAATATTGCAGGCTTCAATAGGGGAAAATAAAAAAGACAAACCAACGGACAGTAAGTACAACAATGAATTTGTAATCGACTCAGTCAACAGCTAACTACAGTAATAAAATAGGACTTTTTTTTCTTTTATCTGCATGAAAATAAATTTAATAAAGATTGATATCATGCATTGGCATTATATGAGTTGCGGGAACATGAGCCAAGAATAAAAATGATCCCTATGATGGGTAATCCTCAGTCATGTACTTTAATATAAAATATGATTTGACATTTAAAGGAGCTACGGCTTGAGACGACCCTTATTTTGCTTTATTTCCTGTATCTGCTTCAGTGACAATGAAAAAACTCATTTAGACTCTCCAGGAAAATCAGGTACATTTAATAAACAAAATCCAAATCTTAACAATGAATGAAATTAACAGGCTTAAATATATGGTAGCAAATTCACTCTCTTATGTGATGTTTGCAAATGTATATATTATGTGTATATTTGCAAATTATTAAAGTAAATGTATTTAAGCAAAATGAAAAGTTAAGTTGTTCATTTTTTGTAGCCACCCTTCCTATAACAAAGGCCATGATACCTAAATCTGGTCCAATGTGCAATGCCCTAAATATGCTCAAACAGAGAAAATACAAAAGAGTAGCAGGGAATAAAAGAAGGGCACAAATAATAAGAAAGAAGGCATCACAGAAATAGGGAAGCATAGTATTTATAGCACACACTTCTTGTGTCTTTTCATATAGGCATATAATATTTTTTGTTAATTATGTAAATTAAATTTCCTGAAGAGTTGTTCAAAGATATTTTACTTTACGTTTCAATTTTTTTTAAATGCAGGATGATACCTTGTCACTCTGTAAACAGTGTTTAAAGTCCCCTATATTTTATACAGTGTGTTAATCAGCTTTCCATTGCTGTAAATAAATTCCTGAGGTGATCAAATTAGAAAGTGGAAAGGTTTGTTTCCACTGTGGTTGTTGAGCACCATTGCCTTCGGGCTGTAGCACAGCAGTAAATCAAGGAGGGAGCGCATGGTGGAGAAACCTTCACCTTACAGCATCCACAAAGGAAAGAACAAGAAGGGGCTGGGGTCCAGATATCTCTTTTATGGTCACACAGCCAGTGACATGACTTTCCACTTGGTCCCACCTCTTAAAGCTCCAGCGCTTCCCAAACAGAACCACAGGCTGATGAGCAAACCTCTAAACCATGGGCCTTCAGGGAAAGCTCATCTAACACAAAATGTTCACATTCAGTGTTCTCCACTTCTCTTTAAACATATGTAGAAGAAAACACACTCTTCTTAAGATAAGTTTACAAATATAAATGGAATAGTCATGGTGGACCATGAATAAACCATTATACGCTTTTCCTCCTCGGTGGGTGTTAGAGAATCAATGAAAAATAAATTAGGAGTTGTAGTTAAAACACAATAAAATAATTTTAGCTGCTTATTTATTCTGCCAACTTTACTATCTAAATAGGGCAATTTAAATAATCTGGGGCAATATACAAGAAATTTATACTCATAGTAGGAAAATAAAAAGACATGGCAGATTTCAAAGCCCTCCATGAATACTTAAATGTTGAAATGTTTATATGGAAAACCTAAACACTGTCAAAATCATGTGTGACTTATTCCAAAGCCCATGAAGTTTGTACAAAGAGAATCTCAGTCAGTTCACTGTGCAAAAGTAACCAATTTTTTCATACCAAACACATGCTCAACAGTCTCAAATGTGAGTAAATATGCTTATTTAGAATTGTATTTCTTCCTACAAAGTATCAATAATTTATAATCATTTCATTAAAGGAAATCTAATGAGATTTGGCAAGGATCAATAAGAAGCTGAATGCAGACTCACCATCTCTTCGATTCAGCCTTGCAAACCCAGGACCGTGGCTGCTGGACAGCTCTGAGGAGCTGCTGAAGGAGGACCTCGGCAAGGCAGAGGCCAGGGGAGCGTCACAGCTGTCTGTAGGGGAAATGTGGGCATGTGGTGAACACACAGGCTGCAGCCTTGGAATACAGTAGCTCAAAAAGACAAATGAGGGTACAAGGAAATTATCACTCTTAATTTTTAAAAGAATGTCTAATATTTGAATTGTAATATCGTTTAGGGTGAAGTTCCTGTGAATTTAAATTATCTTAAAGATGAACAGTCCTGTTAGTTTTCACCTATGCTCATAGTCATGTAACCTCCACCATAAAGATATAAAACAGGTCTTTTGGCCTCAAAAGTCTCCCATGTCCCACATTTTCTTGTTTTGCCAGGTGTATGGGTGCACCACTATTCCAAGACTGCTGTAAACTGAATTTGATGGTTGGGTCCCTTAGGCATAGGCACACGAGGTAGTATGGATTTTGTGCCCAAACCTTGATGTGGTTAAAATTCTCACAGTGCCATTGCACAGGACTAATGGGGCATAAGGCAGCTGCACTCTGTGCCAGGTATTCAGATGAGACTTATTTACAGGAAGAAGGGACTCATAAAAAGCAGTATCTATAGCAGTAAATTGGAAAACCCCCATTGTGGAGAACTCTTTAGCATGAGCTACTGGAGGATACTTTGCTGTACAGCATGGGGTCTCCTCTTTGCCTGGTATCTTTTGTATCACAGGAAATGGTCCTGACCTTTAATCCATAGAACTATGCATGCCAGTCTCACCTGGGAGCACTCCTACACTGCTTGGGTTCTGGTGTGTAAAACCTGCAGGGGATTTTGAGGCTTCTGATCCAGATAAGTTTAATTGTTATCTATGAGGTTTTTGACCCAGAGTAGCTTAATTTTTATCTGTAAGGACTTCCTGCTTCTGGTGTCCAAACTTGAGGAGGCCCTGGAATCATTGCCATTTTGGAAAGCTCTTTCTCATGTGTGTTTTAGGTTACTCCTCTGCCCTTCATCCCAATATTGTAATCATTTCATTTTCAGGCATTCCTCATATTTTCTCATTAGAAAGTTACCACTTTCTATTTTCTAGCATGGGTACTGAGCTGTTCATTTTAAATATATGCATTGAGATATTTTAGCTAAGAATGTTATACCTTGAATATATCATCATAAGATTCTAAACTGCATACTTTATATGTACTTTTTTCTTTGTGAGCAATTGGTTAATTTCAGTGATGAAAAGAAAGCACAGAGCATAATTACATTGCTACAACCTGACAAAATATCAACTGTATTTGCTGATGTAGATGTAAAAAGTAATCTGGAGTCTCTCCTGGTGATTGTTAGATTCCATACATGGCCCAGGGGACAAAAGAAATAAAATCCAGTACATAGAATTTCCCTGAATGAATATCACTTTATGAAGAATACTGGAATTCCAGTAGCTTTTCTAGAAGTATAAATAATCATTGTGAAAATGAGTTAAGTTTGGCCTAAGGCTGTCTCCAAACACATTTTAAGTGTGACCTAAAATTTTCTCCATATAGGGTGAACTGTAACCTAGCATGTTATGCTACCTACCCTGAAAATATACTCTTTTAACCACCACCCAAGCCTCAGCCAATCACAGAAGATGAACTTATAGTTTCACCTATATCTAGCCAGAAGTTCAAAGCTGCCAAAATATGATTATTTCAGGCAAATGTGACAGGCAACCAATCAGGTCATTTCTGTCGGCACTTCCTGTTCCCTGAATACAAATCCAGCTATAACTGTGGTGAGGTGGAGCATTCTGAACAATGTTCCCTCTGCCTCTTGAGTCAAGAAACACTTCTTGGCTCAAATAAACTCTGCTTACTTCAATTAGTCTAAAGTTATTCTTTGAACACCATTAAGATAGTTACATAAGTTAAGATACAACAAAAATTAGAACTAATTTTTTATTCATTAATTCTCTTCATAAATTTTAAGTATTACAATATGATAATCTTCATCACTGGTGATTTGTACCTTTACATGATATATCTTGGTTCTTATTTTTTTCCCCATTCCCCTGCCCACCCTTCAATCCCTGCTCCACTCCCTATTTACAAAGACTTTGTTTCCATTTTTCCCTTTTCTCATATTTATTCCTTTCCCTACCCCTCCCACTTCCCCTTCCCCTTTGTACCTTCCCTTCCTATTTCACATTATCTATTATGCATTTTGATCCTTATTTACACTTTCAGTTTCTCATACCAGAGAAACAATAAAACTAATTCTGAAGCATTTCTCTTGAACAGGAAAAACAGTATATCTCTTATAGCAAGACATACAAAGTATTTGATACAGAAATATTTTCCACATATTTCCAAGCAGTGACAAAGCTATATTTTATACAGGTGCATCAGACACTAGGACTTGTGATTTTTACAAATGAAGATCAGCCATGATCTTGCTAAGCTACATTTAACACACTTGACATAAGGAGCACCCGTTATTTTCTAAATGCTCAAATGTCCATGGAATCCTGCAGTACTTCCAATCCACGGTCTCCATAATGCCTGTAAACACCCCACCACTGCAGTAGAGCCTTGCTAGATTCCCCCAGCTCACTGTTCTCTGAATAACACAAGCAGGGACAATTCTCAGGACTCAGCAAATACTCTACATCCTGAGCTGAGAAAAAGAGAGAACTGTGTACTGATACAACTTTCCAAAAATTTAAACTAAGTTTTGCAGAAATGCATTTTAAAACTGTGAAGATGCCAAGAGAGCCTGGAAAGTAACTAAGGCTGTGCCCCATCTCCAGATGACAGGTCCCAGGTCACCTCGAGTAGTCACTGCAGAATCCAAGAAGAAAGCATACCATTTAAGGAAAACTGCCTCCAAATGTTATTCTTCTTCATTATTCTTCAGAAAAAATGAATCCAAGAACAACTTCTGAAGTAATGTTCATAAATATTTGATGGAAACTATCCTTACATCATGAAAAATATGCCAGTTATAACCAAGATGCTCTGTAATGTGATCTCAAGGGCAGCTGTGCAAAGGTACAACAGAAAAAGTCATTGTTACTCTTTCCCTTGGTTTGTCCTTAATTTTTTAACTATGTGTTTTGCTGGTCTGAGACAATTGCCTACATTATTAAAGTTTAAGAATAAATCTATAACAGTAGCTAGTAACAAAATTATTGAAAAGTTTTATTTCTCCTGTGGAAAATTCAAGAGTCAATAATTTGTATGCTGAGGATTCACCTTGTAATGAAGAAAATACCTAGGGTCTAACTTAAAGAAATATGCTGGGGTCTGCGACCTCTCTGACTGCGCGCCACCAGATCCAGTAAGGAAGGGGTGTCCTTAAAACACCCCCATGACCTGACCCCCACCCCCGGTTCTCAAACCTCCTGATTGGGCCAGTCCTTGGGCCCACTCTGCAGAGGCATAGGTGGTCATGAAGGGTATTTTTCTGAGCTCCCAACTTTGAACATCTTTAAAGAAAGGGCAGGGGAAACCTGTAATAGAACTGAGTGGAGTTCAACCCTGCAGGTTGGGAAACTCAATTTAGGCCTTGTTGGCTGAGGTCAGTCTGTGTCATGGGGACCTGCCATTAACTAGTTGAGATCAAGGGATTCAGTTCTGCATATGGCTGTACATGTGGTATAATATGACAACAGAGACATAGTCTGAAAGAGGCCTTCAAATTTTTCTTTTCCTCATTCCACCCTACAATTTCTTTCTTTTTTCTGTCCTCTCTCTCCAACTCAGTCTCATGCTCCACCATTTTATCTGTCATCTCCCTTTTTATTTCTGCTCCTGCCCTAAGACTTCTTCTTTTATCATTTTTCTTTTTTTCTTTATGTTCTTCTCTCCTGTCATTTTATCTCATTCATGGCTCTGTAGCTTCAAGGGAAGGCAAGCCCCTGTTACTGTTAAGGGGATATATTCTTGCCCTTATTCCTGCACTCTGTCTATCCTCTTTGAAGTTAACAGTTTCATAAGATAGTATGGTCATTGTACGTCCTGTGGCTTCACTTGAAACCTTCTCCAATTCTTTCACTTATCTACTCTTCTCATCCTAACTCAGTCTAAGCCCCCATCCTAAATGGTAAAGATGCTATATTGGAAAGCGTATTGACTGCAAATATATTTTGGGCTGCTTCTTGATATTAATTTAATTCACATGGTTTAAAGGTGATAGATTAATGACTACCACAAGTGGTCAATGTGCAAGCTGTGCCTGATCCTATTGGGCTGCTGAATGTATCAATTGGGATAAAGGATTGTGATTGATTTAATGAGTTGTTTCCTCCAGAATTATGAAAATGAGGATGTCTACAAGTCATTAGAGACTCAAAAGCTAAAAGGCAACTATATCAGGAAGATTTAAGGAATAACCCAGAAATTAAACCAAGGACAACCCAACAACAAAAATAAAAATGAGAAAGCACTTAAGTAAGACACAAAGACAGACTTCCAGTTCACCAATGGCAAACAGTAGGGCAAATGAGGATGAAAAGTCTGACAGTGAACCAGCAGGACACCCTGGACCCATAGCACAGGAGGTAACAAAACAGATCAATCAGGCTCTAGAAAAATTCAATCAGAAATAATTTCCCAGTTAACCATAGAAAAGGTGAGCAAAATGGAAGTCATGATTCCAGACTCTAGAACAGAAACTGACAAAAAACACAGATGAGCTCAAGACCATGATAGAAGCCATGAAGACTCAGCATGAGAAAGAAATGGAAACAATGAATGCCCAACAGAGGAAAGAAATGGATTCCATAAAACAGATTCAAACAGATATCCAGGAGATTAAAAACTCTATTGAAAGTGTACAAAACAGAATAAAAGATTGTGAAGATAGAATTTCAGATATAGAAGATGGGTCAGTGACCATGAAAAAAGAGGTCTCTCAAAGACAGTAAGGGATCATGAGAAATCGATCCAACAACTGCTAGACAATGCAAAGAAAAATAACATAAGACTGATAGGAATCCATGAAATAGCAGGAGAAAACACAAATGACTTAAAAAAGCTCTTCACAGAATTAATGACAGAAAACTTCCCAAATGGAAGGGAAGAATTAGACATACAGATAAG